TGCGTGGGGTTCCCCCTATAAGCTATACCAAGCCCTTTACACATGATAGGGTTTTTAAGGGGAACCCCACCCCACAAAATGGAGGAAAAAAGCGTTGTGTCCCCCATAGATTCCAACCAGACCCTTGATCCGAGCACAGGCCTGTCAGGGCAAGAAAGGGGGAGGGGTTATTTAGAGCCCCCTCCCCTCCCTGTGGTTTACCAGGCCATGTGCCGATGGGGACAAGGGCCTCTTTCCCACAACCCTGGCCCAGTGGTTGTGGGGATCTGCAGGTAGGGTATCATTAGCATCAGGGCACCCCTTTAAATAAGGGGGAATCCTGACGCTGCCCCCCCCTTGTGAATGAGTAAGGGGTATTTGTACCCCTACCCATTCACTAACGGGTTAACTTTAGAAAAAAGAAAGATGCCAGACTTTTGAAAAATTCCTTTAATTGAACAAAGCCCTGATTAACCTCCCTGGCGGTATTCCCGAGTGTAGCTCGGGGTAAAGTTTCTGTACCAAAAGCGGTAACCCCGAGCTACACTCGGGCTTACCATGCAGCGTTGCATAGGGAGTCCCTCCAGCACTTACCTTGCCCTTCGCTCCCGCGATGTGTCCCCTGCAGCGTCTCCGGCCATCTCCTCCGACTGATGCCAGCATCCGGCTTCTGTGTTCCGGTCCCTGTGACGTCGGGACATACAGGCGGCGGCGGCGGTGGGAAATTTGAAAATTTTAAAAAAAATTTCATTTTTTTCAAAAAAATTTTACATAGTAAAACATTGCTGTTTCAAACCATTTCACATACATTTTGTCCCTAGTGCTTTGTCCTGTGCCCTGTCTGCATTTTGACTGTTCTTTCTGCCTGGAAACTTCCATGGCGTCCAAAAAGCGTCCCTTTAGGTCAAAAGCAGTTTTAAAACCGGCTAGAGAACAGCGATAGTAAATCAGAACCGCTTGCAGAATTGAGTGATAATGATTCCTGGAGAAATTCGTCATCAGACACTGAAAAACAATTTTGCGACTTTGATCAGCGATGTGCGAACTTGGCGCTATATTTCAAATTTCAGTGTTTTTGGTTTGATTATATTATTGAATTAAATGTATTATTACACTGTTCAACAGGTAAAAAGTTTTGGGCATAAAATTAGCTAATCTTACATAATTTTGAGGTGCTGAAAACGAAAATGACCCTAAAAAATGTTGATTGGCTCTAGTTTCCATGATATATTCACCCATCTAATGACGTAAGCCATTCAAAATTATGATGCAACTTCAGCTGCATATTGCGCAATTGATACTGGTGACCAATAGAAAATTGCATGTATACTGAGATGATGCAATATTAGCCTTTAATTGCATCACTTCACTGCATAAAAGCTGCAGTATCTGTAGCTGATTGTAGTTCGACAGCGTCTTTACATTTCGTTTTATGCTTATATAGGCTACTCAGTAATGCCTCGAACTTGTGTGAATAAAGCAGATAATTTCTGCTATATCTGCGGTGAAATAACTTTTATCTCACAAAAAAGGAGGATAACAGGAATGATTAAGAAAGCCTACAACTTGTATTTTGGCTGCAAGATAGGAGACCAGGACAAGAGCTGGGCACCACATATATGCTGCAATTCTTGTGGGACGGCACTGGAGCAATGGTTGAATGGAAAAAAGGCATCTATGCCTTTCGCTGTGCCAATGATTTGGAGAGAGCCAACAGATCATGTTAGTAATTGTTACTTTTGTATGGTGCCTCCAATTGTAAAAGGGCTAAATAAGAAGAAAAAGTTATCTGTGCACTATCCAAATATTCCATCGGCAATACGTCCAGTTCCTCATGGAGAGGGGCTACCAATTCCTAAAGCACCAGAATCCTTCGTGGTTGAGTCAAGTGAGGAAGAACCTGAAGCGTGTAGTCACGTGCAGTTGTAAGAGATAGCCCTTTCCTCGAATACAAGAGAAAAGCCAAGAAAAGCAAAACCGACACAAACTGAAGACAAAACTAGTGAGAATCCTAAGTATTAAAATGATTCAACTTAGCTTATGGCTATAATTTTTCTTGGTAATCCTATATGCAATATATTATGCCATTTAGGCTTTGTTATGTAGTCAATATCACTTGCTTTATATTTGTGGAAAGACATCTATCTATATAATTATTGTGCATTATGTAGTCATTACGCCTATAGTAGAAAAATTTCCGTTTACAGAAAAACTAGAGCCAATTGACAAATTTCATTGTTATATTTGAACTCAGAATGTGAAATTCATTAAGAAATGGATCCTTTTGTTTCCAAAACTGGCAAAAAATAAAAATTTGTTGAACAGTGTTATTATATTATTATTTTTTATGATTATTTATTAAATTATAATTTATGATTTTGTGTTTCAAATTTTATCATACCCGGAATGTTTAATAGACTCTTGTTCAGACAGATTTCAGTGAGTTATTCCTAAATATTACAGGCCTACAATAAAAAACTACATATTTCCATGCAAATAATGGTACCGCTTTCAGCACCAAAAATCTGAAATAATCATACCACCAGGGAGGTTAATAAAAAGCAAAAAAAATGGTTCCATTGATGTAATTCATCATTAATCATGGCATTCAGCATTGTCATGATGACACTGGGTCACCAAAATAAAAAAAACCACGCTTGCCAACCTGTCCGCACCCAATGAGCACTCGCCTCAACCTAACATTTGCCAGTCAAATGTAATCAATTGGGCAGATTTAGACATAGCCGCTAGCTCTTCCCAATTGTGCTGTGATTGGCCAAAGCATTGCACCTGACCTGTGGTCAGATGCATTGTTTTGGCCAATCATGGCTCTTACAATGCACTGAGAGAGTGCAATGCATTGGGGGTTATTTAGGGCAAACAGCCCGTCGTGTGTCCGGCGAACACACGAACGGCCGATGTTCGAGTCGAACTTACATTTGACTTGAACATCAAGCCTATCCCTAGTGGTGGCTGCATTTCCTTTTTTTCTAAGCTTGTTTTCCTTTATTTTCATTAGGTGATTATACCAGTAATACACTTCTGGTTCTAAGGTAAAAACACTCACTCACTGTACTGTATCTATAGAGTAGTATCGTGGTCACCCTGGGACAGAGGGTGTGTTAGGACTACAAAGCTCACAGAATAGCAGGATCAATATGTATTTTTGGATTTATAGAACAGTTATGACAGAATACTTTCAATAGTACATTTGAAGTGATTATAAAGGCTTACATTTTATTTTTTTTGCATAACAATCAGGTTTATATTTACCATGCTCTGTGAAATGGAATTGCAGCCCTGAATTTCCTCTTCTCAGGTCTCTGCCGACACTCCAGACTCCTCTTCTTGGTGTGCCACCATAGGAAGCCGCTTCTTACTCTATAACATTTATGGCTCAATCCAGAGCCACGCTGCCTGTGTCCATTGACACAGACATCCCCCCCACCCCACCCCACTCCCTCATCACAGAATTTGACTGACAGCACCAATGGCTCCCTCTGAGCTCAGCAAAGCCAGTGAGAATGGGGAGGAGAGAGCAGTTACAGATGGGCACTGCAGTGCTGGATTAAGTCCAGGCTCAGGTAAGTATTAATAACCTAAATATTTTTTACCTTAATGCAAGGAATGCATTAGGGTAAAAAATGTTTTAGGCTTTAGAACCATTGTAACAGACCAAACAGTAAAAAGTAAGAGACTTTTATTGTTTACAATGGCAATGACAATAGCTAGACTGTTCAAAAGCCTTAAAGGATAATTAAACTGAAACATTTAAATGTAGTATATTACAGTTTATTGGACTTTAAATGTAATGTCTGCATTATTTTTATTTATTTAGGCTAAAAACATTTTAGCAAGCACAGGAAATACTAGTTGATTTTGCTAGAGATATATTGGTTTTCTGTGTCTCCCAGCACAGTCTCAAGAGTATGGAGGATATTACAGGAGACAGGAAGTTACTCTAGGTGAGCTGGACAGGGCTGTAGAAGGTCATTAACCCATCAGCAGGACTGGTATCTGCTCCTTTGTGCAAGGAAGAACATGATGAGCACTGCCAGAGCCCTGCGAAATTACCTCCAGCAGGCCACTGGTGTAAATATCTCTGACCAAACAATCAGAAACAGACTTCATGAGAGTGGCCTGGGAGCCCAACATCCTCTAGTGGGCCCTGTTCTCACTGCCCAGCATCATAGAACTCGATTGGAATTTGCCATTGAACACCAGAATTGGCAGGTCCACCACTGGCGCCCAGCGCTTTTCACAGATGAGAGCAGGTTCATCCTAAGCACATGTGACAGATGTGAAAGGGTCTGGAGAAACTATGGAGAATGTTATGCTGCCTGTAACATCATTCAGCATGACCGTTTTGGTGGTGGGTCAGTGATGGTCTGGGGAGGAATATCCATGGAAGGATGCATAAACCTCCACCTAGCGATCTTTCCCCTGTATACTTATTTCCAGGCAAAATTGGAAACATCAAAACACTTTAACCTCCCTAGCGGTCTGATTATGTCCATATTTCTGTGCTCAAAGCGGTAAATTTTTTTGCATGGAAATATGTATTTTTTTATTGTAGGCCTGTAATTTTTAGGAATAACTCACTGAAATCTGTCCGAACAAGAGACTAGTAAACACCCCGGGTATGATAAAACTTTTAGTACAAAATCATAAATTAGAATTGAATAAATAATCATAAAAAAAATAATAATATAATAATAATAAATTTAATTCAATAATATAATAAAACCAAAAACAATGAAATTTGAAATAAAGTGCCAAGTTTGCACATCACTGAGCAAAGTCGCAAAATCGTTTTCAGTGTCTGATGATGAATTTCCCCACAAATCATTATCACTCAATTCTGCAAGTGGTTCTGATTTACTATCACTGTTCTCTAGCTGGTTTAAAACCACTTTTGACCTAAAGGGACGCTTTTTGGACGCCATGGACGTTTCTCAGTTTCCAGGCAGACAGAACAGTAAAAATGCAGACAGGGCACAGGACAAAGCACTCGGGACAAAATGTATGTGAAATGGTTTGATACAGTAATGTTTTACTATGTGATTTTAGTGATTTTAGTGAATGTCACTTTTTGTCATTTTTTTAAATTTCTCGCCGTTCCGTCCCCCGTATGTCCGGGCGCTCGCAGGGGATGGAACCCAGATGACAGATGCCGGCATCCGCTGCATTACATTGCCGGGGACACTGCAGGAGGGACATCGTGGGAGCGCAGGACAAGGTAAGTGATCCAGGGATTGCGGAGCAGCGCCGCAGTGTATTCCCGAGTGTAGCTCGGGGATACCGCTTTTGGTACTGAAACTTTACCCCGAGCTACACTCGGGAATACCACCAGGGAGGTTAAATGTGGGTGGTCTCTACAAGAAGATCCTACAAAGAAACAAAAAGCTTTATTTTCAAAACACATTAAAAATCCCAAGGGGGTAGAGGTCCCCAGTATTAAAATAAATTACAAACTGAATATTCATTAGAGATTGATCACTGAACATAATCCCCAAAAGAAAGTGCTGCCATGAAATGACACAATTCAATATACTACTTAAAAAACAAACAAAATAAGAGTATTTTTTTAGGATGTGGTAGTGTACCACAATTTCACTACCCCAGTAATTTATACTACACCTGTCCTCTGTCCTCAAACCTACTCCAATGATCCACTTGCTATAATATATGACCAACATCTTTAATCCCTTTATATCTACTGCCAACTTTGCCTCCTTGCTAATTTGTGCACTGGTCACCCCTATATCTAAAAAGGCCTCACTGGACCCAACAAGTCTGAAGAACATAGGTACCATTTCCCTGCTGTCATTTATCTGCAAATGTCTAGAATGCCTAGTCTACAACCATCTGAAACACTACCTCACTAGTAACAATTTTTCCAACCTCTTACAGTCTGGCTTTCAGTCCCTAAGGACTAATATCAACACCACATCATTATAACAAAGTATTCTTGTACTAACAAGTAGAGATGAGCTAATCGAACCTGGCGAAGTGGAATTCGTTTCGAATATCAGGAAAAATTCGATTCGCATTGAATCCGAATTTTAGCAAACTTCGGGTGCACGAATCGAATTTTTCCCAATCAGCCGGCAAAAGTGTCACTGCAGAGAGCTCCGCTATTTCTGACAGTTCTGACAGTTCATTTACAGCGGTTGAAACATTGTATCTATTTGTTTCCATTTAGGATACAGATGTTTTTATTCGGAAATAAATAGATACAATGTTTCAACCGCTGTAAATGTGAAGGAACTGTCAGAGAACTGTCAGAAATAGCGGAGCTCTCTGCAGATACACTTTTTGCTGTACTGGAATACTTCTTCTTTTCATTCCTCTTCTTCTTTTCATTCTTCTTCTTCTTCTTTTCATTCTTCTTTTCATTCTTCTTCTTCTTTCTTCTTTTCATTCTTCTTCTTCTTCTTTTCATTCTTCTTCTTTTCATTCTTCTTTTCATTCTTCTTCTTCTTTTCATTCTTCTTCTTTTCATTCTTCTTTTCATTCTTCTTCTTCTTCTTCTTTTCATTCTTCTTCTTCTTCTTTTCATTCTTCTTTTCATTCTTCTTCTTCTTTTCATTCTTCTTCTTCTTCTTCTTTTCATTCTTCTTCTTCTTCTTTTCATTCTTCTTTTCATTCTTCTTCTTTTCATTCTTCTTCTTCTTTTTCTTCTTTTCATTCTTCTTTTCATTCTTCTTCTTCTTTTCATTCTTCTTCTTCTTCTTTTCATTCTTCTTTTCATTCTTCTTCTTCTTCTTTTCATTCTTCTTCTTCTTCTTTTCATTCTTCTTTTCATTCTTCTTCTTCTTCTTTTCATTCTTCTTCTTCTTCTTTTCATTCTTCTTCTTCTTCTTTTCATTCTTATTTTCATTCTTCTTCTTCTTCTTCTTTTCATTCTTCTTCTTCTTTTCATTCTTCTTTTCATTCTTCTTCTTCTTCTTTTCATTCTTCTTCTTCTTTTCATTCTTCTTTTCATTCTTCTTTTCATTCTTCTTCTCATTCTTCTTCTTTTCATTCTTCTTCTTCTTCTTTTCATTCTTCTTCTTCTTCTTTTCATTCTTCTTCTTCTTTTCATTCTTCTTTTCATTCTTCTTCTTCTTCTTTTCATTCTTCTTCTTCTTTTTCATTCTTTCATTCTTCTCATTCTTCTTTTCATTCTTCTTTTCATTCTTCTTCTTTCTTCTTTTCATTCTTCTTTTCATTCTTCTTTTCATTCTTCTTCTCATTCTTCTTCTCATTCTTCTTTTCATTCTTCTTCTTCTTTTCATTCTTCTTCTTCTTCTTTTCATTCTTCTTCTTCTTTTCATTCTTCTTCTTCTTCTTTTCATTCTTCTTCTTCTTTTCATTCTTCTTCTTCTTCTTTTCATTCTTCTTTTCATTCTTCTTCTTTTTTTCATTCTTCTTCTTCTTCTTTTCATTCTTCTTTTCATTCTTCTTCTTCTTCTTTTCATTCTTCTACTTTTCATTCTTCTTCTTCTTCTTTTCATTCTTCTTTTCATTCTTCTTCATCTTCTTCTTCTTTCTTTCCATTCTTCTTCTTCTTCTTTTCATTCTTTTCATTCTTCTCATTCTTCTTTTCATTCTTCTTTTCATTCTTCTTCTCATTCTTCTTCTTTTCATTCTTCTTTTCATTCTTCTCATTCTTCTTTTCATTCTTCTTCTTCTTCTTCTTTTCATTCTTCTTCTTCTTCTTCTTTTCATTCTTCTTTTCATTCTTCTTCTTTTCATTCTTCTTCTTCTTCTTCTTCTTTTCATTCTTCTTTTCATTCTTCTTTTCATTCTTCTTCTTTTCTTTTCATTCTTCTTTTCATTCTTCTTCTTCTTCTTTTCATTCTTCTTCTTCTTCTTTTCATTCTTCTTTTCATTCTTCTTCTTCTTTTCATTCTTCTTCTTCTTCTTTTCATTCTTATTTTCATTCTTCTTCTTCTTCTTTTCATTCTTCTTCTTCTTCTTCTTTTCATTCTTCTTTTCATTCTTCTTCTTCTTCTTTTCATTCTTCCTCTTCTTCTTCTTCTTTTCATTCTTCTTCTTCTTTTCATTCTTCTTTTCATTCTTCTTTTCATTCTTCTTCTCATTCTTCTTTTCATTCTTCTTCTTTTCATTCTTCTTCTTCTTCTTTTCATTCTTCTTCTTCTTTTCATTCTTCTTTCTTCTTCTTCTTCGTCGTGCCCTGTGACTGCCCAAATGAGTGAAGTGTGCGGTGATTCTAAGATCGACGGCACTCATCTGCATGTCATACTGACTGACAGTATTATTTCTCTTCCCCAGCAGACTCCAAGGGCATTTAAATTAAAGGTACAGTGTTCTGCACTAATATAAAGGCTCTCTGAAGCCTAGAAACCCTTTTAATAAGTTAAATTTGCGGCGAATAAATTCGCATCGAATCAAATTTCTCCCGCAAATTCGGCGAATCAGCCGAATCGAATTTTTGAATAATTCGCTCATCTCTACTAACAAGCAACAGAGGGCTTAAGGTGTCACATGTACAATAATCAAGCAATAGCGCCCTCAGCAAGTATTGTTATAACATGATAGAAAATATTAAAATAAGATTGACACACATATACACTACAGCAACGTGCTGTCATATAAAGAAAGGGGTAGAACTTATGTTTCTATATACTGTAGAAAATTGTGTTTTCAGCTCCTGATGAACAAGGGCCCAAACTAGTTAAAGTTCAGGAATTTGTCCTAACACTTGAAAAGCCAGGATGGACTGGGGAGGACAAGGTTTCAGCATCTGAAGAGGTGGATGTCTGGGAAACAGAACACAGAATTTAATGGAGATGCTTGCCCTTTAAATAAACTGATATTTTAAATATGTTACTATTTTACATGTAAAATCTTAAAAGCCATGTGTTTAGTGGTACAGGAATACTTTGATATATGGATGTGGAGTCAATATTAGCTCTTAGAGACTGCTTCATTTGGGTATACATTACAATATTTAAAACTCAATTAAAATAGTAGCAAGGGTTATATAAATGTAAAAAGTTTTAAAACCGTCTTAGTCCTTCTACCCTTTATAAGCCATCTGCAACTTTCTTCTTAATCCACGCTGTCACGTACTTTAGATAGTGAACCTGACGGGAAGAGGCAGGCCTTCCGTATAGCTCTGGCTTGAGGGCTACTGGTGGTGGGACAGTAGCCACAGGAACACAGCAAGGTATGAGTGCCTGTGATCAGTCCAGTAGTATGTTCATGAGTGGAAGTCCACAGGCAGGTAAAGAAGAAGGACAGGTTGAAGGTGGACAGCTAGGCGTGGATCTTGCTCGACGGCAGGTTATAGGTTACAGCAGGGAGCAGAATCCAGATGCGGACTTGCCGAACTGATGGACTGTCGCCAACAATAAGGAAGGAGCAAGATCAGATGAGCCGGATCGGTAACAGCCGGGCAGATCAAGCATAGATGGCAGATGCCAGAGAATCAGGTCACAGGCCAAGTCAGCAGCGGAGGTACAATTGGATAAGATTAAGAGGCAGTAGAGTAGACCAAGACAATCCGGGGTCGGGGCAGGTAGCAGACAAGCAAAGATCAGTAACAAGCCAGTTAGTATTAGAGGTCGGGCACAAGAATCAAGAACGAATCAGGAACACACTCAGAAGCTGCAGACTGAACCGCAATGAGACAAGACTGCAGCCCATTTAAATAGCCGTTTTGGTGCCAGCATTAGTGAGAGGCGTGCCTTTGCCCAAATTCATGCACATCTGTTTGACCCGTTATTGTTCTGCACATGCGTATACTTATGCGGCACAAACCCTCACATTGCACTATGGACAAGCCTTTCCTGACACATGCAGACTGTACTCATAAATTAATTGTAGTTTCTTTTTAGTTGCTATGGAGCATCTGAAACACGTATTTCCACTTGTATTTTTATAAATTAAATCAACCTATTTTCTAAAATAAGAGTAGTATTTGTTCAGTTGTTATAAAAAAAATTGAGGTTTTAAGGCAAGTTGCTATTGAAAATGAGTAAGTGATGTAGTTGGTGAGTAAGTGATGTAGTTGCATGTGCACTGGGGACTGGATTATATGTGTGGTGATTTAGGTGTTTAATTCATGCACACTTGCCATGGATCACTTTAAAGATAATTAATCTCTTTTATGAGTACAAGCCAGTACGCATGACTATGTTTAATTGGTGATAAATGCACCTAAAGATTTTCTATGCTATTCAGGGCTGTTTAATACGAGTACTAAACATGCATGCATAATTAGAGAACAGTTAATCTAAAGTGATGCAAAAAAAAGTCAAATTCAGTGCAAAAAGGAAAAATGGAAATGCAATGCAAACACTGCTCAGCCTTAGTATTCCCACCATAAATGACACTCTCTCTTTCAAACC